TTCAATTTAAGGTAAAATTCAACCACAAACGCTTCGCAAAACGTTTGAAGTGTTCTTTTAATATGGAACTAAACTGCCTTTATCGATAAACTTTGAGTTCGAAATAAAATGATTCCAAATTCTCCCATGTAAATAACTTTGCTTAGTATAATAAAAAGTGTAATCAATAAAGAAACCCTGAAATAATACGCTGTCTTCTTTCATATTTTATATATACGCAACGATCGGCTTTTAAAGTAATTACAGCCGAGATTACAGTATATTAAAAGCGAACAATGCATCAATATTTAAAACAAACTTACCTTCGTTAACGTCGGCACCTTTACTTCCTTCTTTTAGCAATCCTCTTGCCTTTATTTCATCAAAAATCCTTTGCAATTTACAAAATCTTGCAAAAATGAAATATATTTGCAGGAAATCATCAAATCAATTTCGCTATCGTCAATCGTCATGCAGCCGTTATAATGCCAATTTTAAATTGGACCAATCAGTGTTGGCTATTCATTACAGTCCGCTATATTATGAGATCAGTGAGGATGACCACCACTGAGCTATACTTAATATATCTGGAGATCGTGCTCCAATACCTCGTCAGTCAAAAATGTGTGGCCAAAAACATGGCGGATTTTGGCCAAATTTACGTCATTTTGACGTCACAATCGACCTAAATTTATGGTGAACACCACTGACCTAAAATGCTAACGTGAAGAAAAAAGTTATTCACACCCCCCTTTCAATTTGCTTAAAATAAATTCAAAATTTCGGTCGGAAATTTCTATATTGAAACAAGACATTTGCAACCATGCCAACTTTTTGTTCAATTCCTGGTTGCCAAAAATCTGCTGAAAGAAAGGACCTGTCCTCACATGCGTAAGGCTCGTATAATCTCTTTTTTTTTAATAATTTAACGCAATGCTGTATTGCTCTATTGAATGCGTAAATTTGTGAATTCATGAAATTTATTGGCAAGCAACATACAATACAATGTTAGTGTACTACAGTGCAAAAGCAGAACAAAATTTTAAAATGTTGACAAGCTTGTGGAGCTGTTGTTGAGCAAGTATTTATTTTCATGCAAGTTGATGGATGTGATGCAGTGATGAAATCTTATCGATATCCTAACAGATAATGCTTAATGTTAAAAAAATTCAAATGAGAATTTGAACAATGTGATAAAGATACGACTAGCTTTAAATGTACAAAGCCTTTCACTCATTGTATTGTCTTTATTGTGGACTAAACCATGTGTTGTCTAGTGTGGCATTGTTTATAATAATTGTAAGTTATAGGTATCGTATTGAACAGTGTATTAACTAGACACTAAAAACAATTGTTCATTTACTTCAAAGCTTTCCAGATGAGAAGAGATTCCCTGAATTGCACAGCATATGGGTGAAGAATATAAGCAAACTTATGCCAGACAGAGTGAAGTTTGTTCCTATGAAAAATAGTCGTTTGTGTTCAAAGCATTTTAGTGCCGATATCTTTGAGGAGGATTACAGCCAGAGACCAGTGTTAAAGCCATATGCTGTACCAACAATCTTTAATGATTGCTTTGGTCAGCTTGGTTGTGATCTTTGCAGTTTATTATCAGTACAATTAATGGCCATACTGTACATGAGGGGTAATTAACCCATTAAGCGCCAGTGCTCTCCCCTTGACGAGTAAAATTGTCTGGCGTTAGACAGAGTAAAATACTAAAATAGGGTGCTTCGCCACTCAATGGGTTAAATTTATTCCTTAATTTTTCTGCTAACAACTTTAAGTTATTTGTACACATTTTGGTCTGTTTAGCTAAGCCAAGATTGCTACATTTACATTTATTTTGACCATTTGTGTTAGTGTACAAATTAGGCTACCATAATTACTGTAGGTGCTGACCATCAAGTATGGATTGACATGTATAGAATTGGTTGAGCAGTTTATTTAATTAAATTGGTGTTGTATGTGTTTAAAAATAAAGAATAAATTTTGTTGTGATTTGAAATTGAATATATTATTTATTCTTATTACTAAATGTAATTATATAATTATCTTGGAAAATCTTTTTTTGAATAAAAATTTTTTTTAATAATTCTTCACTGTCGTTCCAATTGAAGTGTTCCTCAAATATTGATTCAATACATTACCTTGGGCTAACCAATTCATTTGATTAAGTTCCTCAAGATATTCACACACTTCCTAGTATAATTGTAAACTTCCTGTTAAATGGTTTGAATGCACCAATCACCTTTGTTGTTTGTGCAACTAACCAATCATAAATAGAAAGGAAGTGACCAGAAATGATTAAATACTTGGAATTGGTTCTTTCACAGGAAGTGTATGAATATCTGGAGGAACGTGATGAAATGAGATGCTTGAATGTGTGATGTTACTCTGAGTGTATATCCACACCGGGCAGGCTTGAAAAATATGCCTGGCCACAGTGGGATTTGAACCTACGACCTTTGGAATACTAGCCCAAATGGCAATGCTCTGTCAACTGAGCTACGCGGTCAGGTCGGTTTGAATCCCAATGTGGCTTGGCATATTTTTCAAGCTTGCCCGATGTGGATATGCACTCAGAGTAACATCACACAAGCATCATATTCACAAATATCATGGTTATTAGATTACACTGATATCGAAGGAACTAGACTCAGTTCCGAAATATCGCATACTCGAACTGCCCCGACTGTATAGCTCAGTTGGCAGAGCATTGGGCCAGTATTCCAAAGGTTGTTGGTTCAAATCCCACTGTGGCCAGGCATATTTTTCAAGCCTGCCCAGTGTGGATATCCACTCAGAGTACGTAACATCACACAAGCATCTTATTCACCTGAGTACATGTATTACACCAACACAGCAAATATCTTGATGGAATGAATTGGTCAGCCCGAGGTAATGGATTGAATCAATATTTGAGGAACACTTAAAAATAAGGTATGAATCGCATAAAATGCAGATATCAAAATCAAACATTGTAACTCGAGCATAAAAATGTGCATATTTGTTTTAAAAGGTGATTGTTCCTTGAATGTTCAATGAAATAGTGCTATTGCCTTTTACAAGGAAGACCATTATAAAGAAATACACTTGACTTTCTTCATTGCCATCTGGTACTTAGTACAGATATCCCATATTTTCTTGATAAATTCATACCTGAAAGCGGAATACATACAGGTGTAAAAAAAACTTTAATGGTGATATAAGTGCTTTATATTCCAAAGAGTTGCTTTTCCCCACAATTTACTAATAAAATAAACTGGTATTAAAATCTCTAAAAAAACCTTTGTCACTCAGGGAAATTTATAGCAGTACGGTTTTCAACAAGCTATATTTGCTTAATTTTACTTGCTGGGGATTGTTATAATACTCGTGTTTTAAAGAATAATCTTGATAGTTCAGTTGCAACCAATGGTTGCAACACAAATTCACAATACAACAAGAATTGATAAATCATTTCAATGACTTACATGCTTTGTTCTTGTGGCCGTCAAGCTCCATTCATGTCTTTTTTTATTAATGGCTTTCAGTCTTTATTGATTTATACGCGCAGTTAGAATAATACTGTATTTTCAAAAGGACGAAAATCAAAAATATACTCTCTGTCGATCAACTAATATAAACATACAAAATCACTGTAAAATCCAGGGGGGGTTGAACTTTGTCGCCCACGAACATTCGAGTCACGGGTCAGTGGAAACCCCCATGAAAATAGGTCGATTGTGACGTCAAATCCGCCATGTTTTTGGCCACACACCTTTCGGGTGAACACTTTTTTCCATCCAGCAAGCCGCCCTATCGATTTTGTAAAGTCGTTTCTTTTTGGATTTTTTCATTAATTCGGTTAGGGTTAGAGTTAGGGTTGAGGTTAGGGTTAGGGGTTAGGGTAGGGTTTGGGTTAGTTACAATTTACATAGCCATTTAACACCTGCGAAAATGACGCCAGGTCAGTTTGCTGGATGGAAAATAGTGCTAACCTTGTGCTAACCACACTTTCGTCGAGAGCACGATCTCCAGATATAATACCAGTAAGTATAGCTCAGTGGGCCAGAGCCACTCAACGATGGCTCTGGCCAGGGCGTAGTAAAACACCTGGTGTTTTACAGCGCCCTGCCACAGAGTATACAGAGGCGGAACTCGCGGCGATTCCTTTGTTCTTTGTGTCCCCGTGCCACGTCATTTCCACGCGCCACGCAAATTGCTCTGGCAAGTGTCATTCGTCGTGTTTTCAGTCAAAAGCATAGGAAAAACACCGTTCGAAAGTAGAAAAATAAATATTTTTGCGAAGTTGCTCAACCGATCTTCATTTTGGAACTCAAATTTGAAAGATAAACGGTAAGTGGTTATTTTTATGTAAAAATATATACGTTTATAGGCTAAATACAAAGAAAAAATAGTATAATACAAATTACAATCTCGGTGCTTGTGATGTTCTTGCCAAGAAGCAGATTCCCATTTCGCTAAATTAATGCGGGCCAAACGTATTGCTTTCCTGTCTTTTACATTAATAAGAAAGCATAGGTGCTGATTTGAAACACGTCCATCAGGTTCCATGTATGTAGCTTTGCGATTTGTGAGCAAAAATTAAAAGTTAAACTACCTATGTTTTTAATACTTTCTGTGCAACTAATAACCACATTCACAAATATATTCTCCAGCAAAGAAACGTTTCTTTACGGATTGTTAATCCGCATTTGAATGCATGCTTATGCCTTCAAAGGTCAGAGGTCTTCACATGCAGAATAGCAGAGACTAGTGTCATTGACATCCTTTGTCACAAAATTATGATGGCATATTGGACAGCTATGTTGGATAAGGCACTTCCTTAATAAATAGCTTGACACATAAGTTCATGCAGACTAAGTTTTGTTCAATTTCATTTGTTTTGTAGTCGGTATCTTCAACTGCTTGGATTAGTAGTGGGCTTGTCTGATCATTTCCTGCAGATAAATCAGATTGGCTAGGGTGAAATGCAATCAAATAGGCATCAGACTCTTCAGCACAGCTGCCAATTGAAAGTGGTGTCAAAATATTATCTACAAATAATAATGAGGCCAAAGAAGTTCTCCAGAGGATCTTGTCATGAGAAACTCCAAGGAATGATGTTGGTTAAGGTGTAATGAGAAACTCCAAGGAAAGATGTTGGTTAAGGTGTAAGTGTAATAACTACTGACAGTGTAAATACTACAACAGTGAAATGTAAATACAACAGTGTAATTGGGGTTTAAAAATACAAAGTTTATTTTAATAAATGTTGTTTATTTTATGTCACATTTATATACATTTAAGAACTTAAATTATTCAAAAACTAAATAAATTAAATATGTGTTCAATGTCAATGAATATTGCTATATTCTAAATTTTTTATTCCAAAATAGGCAATAACTGTTTCCTTTATTGTTGACCCCACATGTTGTCATGAAAATTAATACTAAATAAAAAAAGTAGCCAATGATCCATGTTTCCTCTTACAGTCTTTGCTTTATATGAAAAATTAAATACTACAGAATAATTGCATTGTTCCTTTTATTGATAAAGAGTTTCCCATTAAAAGAGAAAGTATTCCCAATTAATACTTTGCATGTTAAAGTGTGCTCACCCTTTGACGAGTAAAATCGTCTGGCGTTAGACAGAGTAAAATAATAAAGTAGGGTGCATCAGGGCACATGCAATGCAACTCAATGGGTTAACTGGATCGTCCGACAGAATAATAAAGTTGGGTTAACAAGTAAAATTGTCTAGCTTTACAGTACATCTTCCAAGGGGGGGCTGGATTTGGGGAGCAGGCCTACCACTTTGGGGGGGGGGCTGCTTTTTTGAACCCCAATTAAACTATTACAGTAATCCGACGGCCTGTCTATATGGTCTCCGGGTACTAGGGAAATCCTACCCCCCCCCCACGAGCCACCCTGGCAAGGCAAAACTATATTCATATCCTATTATAGCAACTGCCATGCAAGTGTTTGCATGGAAAGTTTTGAACTTGTCTTGCCTAGTGGGATGATCCAGGTAGTAAAGTCACTCCGTCAGGGGGTACAGCATCTCTATTACTTAAGATTAATTATATAAACATTGCCTGAGGCTATGTAAAATTGGTAGGCTTTCCAATATAAGATCAAATAGTCTCAGGTTTTCCCCAATCAGGTGAACAAATTAACATAGTTGTAAGATCTGCATCTGATTCATTGTAATGAACAATGTAGTTCAACAGGAATGATTGGCAATCTAGAAAAGCAAAATAAAAGATTATTAAACATGTACAGACTTGGCATGTTTGAGAAATTATTGACCTTTGAGAGCCAAAAAAGGTTGTCATTGCACAATAACCAATGCACTAATCTAGGGGAATCACTATAAAGTATAATTTGACCAATCCCTCACCATTGGGTCAACATATAAGTTAAATAAAGTCTATATGAGAACTTTAGAGTACTGTGGCTCCATGTCCATCAGTCCATGTTGAATGTTGATGTTCATATTTTTCGTATCTGAATGCTGTTTATGCAATGTTTAAATTAACGACAATCCTTTGATACAACATTGCACTTCACATAACTATATTGATAATTTGATATATATGAGCTAGAGAAAAAAAACTCACATATAAAGTTGCCAAGTTCCAGCTGGAGTTCAGGTCTACAGAATCGAATCGAGAATCGAATCTTCAGATTGCCAGAAATTCTCGCTCCTTCGGGTGTCTTTTCTCATTTTTGCCGTTAAAAATGGTATTCGTTCAATTCCCTTTTGCCAAGAAGACGCAGTGTGCCATTTATTTGCAAAATTCGTGCACAAAATGAAGATTGATCGGTTACTGCGCTTAAAATCACCGTTTTATTGCCAAAATTTTGCATTTTCCTATCTATTTCCTGATAAAAAATGTGCATGACACTTGCCAGAGGGTCGCGCATGCGCATTAAAAAAGTGGGAACATGATTTGCCTCGAGTTCCGCCTCTGTATATCCTTACTCTGTGACAAAGCGAAAGACAGGGAAGAAACCCGAAGCGAATTATCTGTTAGTGACAGTGTTGGTTTATCTTTTATTCGTGAGAATATTAGTACGTCAATAAGGTTAGTAATGAAATAATATCTATATTTTTATGGTTACAATTTGTGAGGTAAACTGATGAAAGATATTTCTAGGGTGAACCGAAGAAGGGTTTACAGTAATACTGTTTACTATTTTAGAATTTAGATTTTCCCCGTTTAATTTAGAGCTGATTTTATACATATTAATAGTAACACACAATTGTAATCCTGCTCTGTATTGGACTGGTTACGTACTGTATTAGGCCTGAAAGTATAAAGCTTTAAGCATAGCCTTAGGCGGAAAATATTTTAATAAGTTTACTATTGCCTGGCGGAAAAAACGAAATTTCCATGATGGCGACTGAAAATCTGACCCTCACCTTGGGATATCATTCAATAGGAACAAAATGACGATGGAAAATATTTCTTTGATTCATTTTCAGCACAAATAAGTTAAAATGAGCAAGTATACTCCTAGGATGATTGAAATATATTATGGATTGAAAATAGAAACTTCCATGGCCATTTTCTATGGCCATAAAGATGCTGTACAGTGTGATCTGCGCTATAAATAAGGATGCTGTACAGTGTGATCTGTATAATAGATACAAACAGTTTATTTAGGTTTTTATTTCATTTTATGTTCTTACAAAGCTTGATTGTTGTGTCTTCATAATTTATTATATTCTAGAATCATGAAAATATATTAGCTGTCGAATAAAATTCTATATTTTGGAAATGTAAATGTAAACAAAGCCTTTGTTTACATACGGACTGTACCGCATCTTTAAAATGGCTGTGAAAACAGTGAAGTAGATTTGAGCGTGCAAAGCATGACGGTGACACACATTATTTAAACTATTTCTAAAGTGGGAAAATATTTTTAAAAAACCTGACTAAATTGATCCACAATAATAAGGTATTTGTTAATTGTTTCATCTGGGATTGGGCTAATTATTTTTTTGTGATTCATGATCGACTCATGTGTGGCCATGCTATGTAAAACATACTTTGCCAATTTAGGCTTTGAAGTCTGTGAAAGCTTATCAAATTGGTCAACTGACCAACTCGACCAATCTACTCAACCAATACTAACTTGACTCAATAATATATTATTGATTCTAATATATTGTGAAAGTGTAGTTATTCTGTATAGTTGCAGCTAAATAACATGTTTCATCACATGAACTGTGCAATTATGCCCTGTAGCATCTGTATTGCATTGCATTTTAAATTAACCAAATTATAATCTGGTTACTGCACTTCACTTGGTGGAATTAATATTAGAATGCTATTTTTAGGGTTTGTACTGTAATCGAAGTGAGTAGATATACATTTTAAGACCTGACCAGGAACGACTGCGAAAAATGCAGCACAAGGTCCTCTCATAGGAATTGAACCTACGGTCCTGTGATTCCGGTGCAGCGCTCTAACCAACTGAGCTACAGAGGCCAGCTGTTGAGCTGCAACCGTAAGTTCATGTGTATATAGGTGATCGGGTGTGCGCGTTGTGATAAGGTGGCAGGGTCTGAAATTTGCGGTATCCCGATATCCACGGGATACTGATATTTGGTTTTGGATACTAAGTTTATTTTACTTGTATCCCGATGGGATACCACATCTTTTTAAAAATCGGGATAGCAGTTAATGTTTTAGTAGTCTTCCCACATTTTTGTTCATTAAATAGTGCTGTAACACAAGTCTAGCATTCGTCATAACGTTGTATTTATGACTTATGTAGTATGACTTGCGAGTCGCCATTTTGAATAGTGTTTCCACATTGAAACAACTGTCCAGATTTCATTGAAAAGAATTTTTTTGAAGTCATGAAGATTGTAAGAAAATTTGAAGGTCAATAGGACTCGATAGTTAGCAAAGTGGATAGCAAATATATTTTTTTTTCTTGCCAACATGAACTAAAAATACTCATATATAATTCATGCATTTCTTGTGATATTATGTTAAAATATCGAATTAAAACCACCCAAACTCTTGATGATGGGTTATTTTACAATCCATGATGATACAGCCAATAATGATAATAATGACATTGTAGTTCCCTTAGTTCGCATTTGAGTGCATACTGATAGCATTTAAATATCAGTGAAGTTGACACTTAGACTGTAATAATTAAATAATCCTGTTAACTGTTAAGAAATTGAACTGTATAAGTACGTTCCTTTTAGGATTCTAGTATATAAAATGAGATGGATGAAAATGCTTGACTAAGGGTAAGCCTTAGAGTGATGTTGGGTCTGGCCCCGGGATACGAAAAGCCAACTAGTTAAGTATCCAGATTTGGAATACTGGATTATCGGGAGGGATACCAAATTTTAAAACCTTGGTATCCATGTGGATCCTTAAAAAAACATCAAATTTCAGTCCCTGAGTGGACTTCAATAATGGACAGAGGTCCTACCAGAGGACCTTGTGCTGCATTTTTTGTTGTCGTTCCTTGTCAGCTCTTAAAATGTATATCTACTCACTTGGATTACAAAGCCTAAAAACAGCATTCTAATTTTAACCAAATACACAGTTAAAATGACATAAAAGCTGCCTAGTGGACATCCAATTCTGAGATTCTGGCTATAAACATTATAATAATGGCAATGGCCTATATGGCATTTGAGGAATGATCAGCTCATTCTTCAATAACACAAGCTGTAAATTAAACTTTATAGGCCAGGCAAATAAAATTTATGAGAAATAGAAGAGCTTGTTTGTTTTGAACTTTTGAGGTCTCAATAGCACATATTACATTTGACGACACACATGTAATTTAATTATCCGCATTTCTGACATGCACGCTTAACAATAGAAAAGCGTTCAATTTGCATTTATTTTAAAGTCAATTTAAGTCTGTTTGTCCCAATTTTGTACAATAACAACAACTGTGACCAAGCTGTTAGATACAAAACCTCGCCTAAGGGACACAAAGCCTGAGATTAAAAAGCTCTTCTTCTGAATTAACTTTGGCATAAACTAAGCATTTAACTGAGGTATAAACTGTAACAATGAGCCATCCTTTTAGATACTAATGCTGTCTATTATCGCATACATACAATATTGAATCCAAATATTAAACACTGTCCAGTGTCCACTGTCTGGATTTTAAATAATCAAATAGAATGATGTAATAATGTCTGAAGATATCATATAGATAGTTTTAAATAATTAAATAGAATGATGTAATAGATGTTTAATTGTAATGCGAAACCGGTAGGTCGAGAAAGAGTTAAAGATATCTAATAGATATCTTAACTATTAATTAGAGCTAGATCTCGCCTTCACGAGTAAAATCATCTGGCGTTAGACAGAGTAAAATAATCTGGCGTTAGACAGTAAAATAATAAAGTAGGGTGCATCAGGGTGCAAATTGTGACTCAATGGGTTAACTAGAAACATGGGCAGATAAGCCAGTTAAGCCATCAAGCGCCAGCGCTCTCCCATTGACGAGTAAAATCATCTGGCATTAGACAGAGTAAATAATAAAGTAGTTCGCATGAGGGCACAATGGGACTGAATGGGTTAATTATACATGTAAATGAGAGCAAAAGTTAAATGTTGTCTCCTGAATATTTCCTGGCTATTGACCAATCAAATTGTATGTGTCACTGTAGTTATTATATAATGACCATTCTTGTATTAATGCGTTTGTACACTATTTGTTTACTGTTTGTGTGTTTATATACGATTGCGTGTTTATATGTGTTTCTGTTAATTTTAGACTTATGAACAACGAAGTCATGTCAGGAGTGAATATGAATGGCAATGGTGGTAAAGTTGCATTTGGAAAGACAACTATCTTTCAACTTATCACTGGTACGTAATAATATACAGTGTATTATATTGTCCGGGTAATTGTCATGCTAATTCTTTCGTTATGAATTTGTTTAGAAATGGCTTTGAAGAATCATAAAGGAACAGAGAGTGAGGTGGTTCAGATTTGTTCCAGACTGCTGAAATATGCACCAGACAGAAAAGGTGGCGGAG